ATTTTTTTAAGAAAGCTTTATTTACGAATCTAAAACTAATACAAACATTTTAATTGTAATAAATAAACTGTAAAGTAGTCACAGTACATACAAGATACAATTTTTATGTTTAATTCAACTCTTTTTTTCTTTGTTTCCTAGAGATGTGTATTTGTAAATAACGGTTTTCCTTTGTATTATAGTCACAGTACACACAAGATATACTTTTTATATGATCTGTTTTCATATGTTGACTTACTTGGTATTCTGTTGTGTTTTTTTGCATTTTACATGTATGTAATAAAAATAAAACTACTCTGTACAGGATTTTTTTTAATTAGTAATGTTAATACATTTTTACTTATAAACCTTATTGGGCATACTGCTAAGTTTAAAATAAAATTATGATACAAAATCTTATACCTATATTAAAAATGTTTTAATTATTTTGTTTTTGATATTTCCCATAGATGCATTCTTTTAACGAATAGTTATCGAGGGTTGTATAGTCCCAGTACATATAAGATATCATTTTTATGTTTAATCCTACTGTTTTTTCAAACTCATTTTGTTCTTGATGTTTCCTTTGTTTTCTAACTGGTTGTTTTCGAGGGTTTATAGTCACAGTACATACAAGATAAAATGTGTACTCTATTTTTTAACTTATTTTGTTTAGTTTCCTATAGATGTGCTTTTTTAAATATCGATTATTCTATGTTTTGAACAGGGACCCGGACCGAAACCAAAAAAAACCGAAAACCGGAACGGAACCGGTTTTTTTTTTCCGAACCGGAACCCGAACCGGAACCGTTTTCGCTTTTGATAAAATCTGTTGGACCGGAACCGAAACCTTTATTTGCTTTCATTCTAATAACATTATATAACATATATATATATATATATATATATATATATATATATATATATATATATGTGAGGTTATAGATTAAAATTACGTAAAACAAATAACCTCACTGGAACCCCTTAAAACCGAAAAGAACCGAACCGTTATAACTCCACGAAACCGAAACCGGAACCATTAAAACGAAAATAGGGTGAACCAAAACCGTACCGGAACCGATATTTCATTTCGGTCCGGGTCCCCGGTTTTGAAATCGCAGTACATACAATATACTACTTCTACTTTGTTTTTTTATGTTTGTTATAGATGTTACTACCCAACCTTCGGCGTGAAAATGTGAAGTCACAGTACTCACAAGAGTAAGTTTTTACTCGTACTTATTTTTTTTGTTTCCTAACGTTATAGAGGGTTGTATAGTCACAGTACATACAAGATTCAATTTTTATGTTTAATTCTACTTTATTTTCAACTAATTTTGTTCTTTAAGTTTCCTATGGATGTGCCTTTGTAAATAACGATTTTTCTTTGTATTAAAGTCACAGTACACATAAGATATACTTGATAAATGGTCTTTTCTCATGTTAAGTTTCAAGTCATGGCATGTTCGTACTGTATATAATATGTGGAATAGGTACAGTACTCACATGATAAAGTTTTTATCTGTATAGTTACTTTCTTTACTAGCTCATTTTTTGTTTTGACGTATTTACAGTATACACACCATAAAGTTTTGTTTTTTATGTAGGTATGTGGCTACGCAATTTTGAACTATGAAGTCACAGTACACACATGATTACAAAACAAAATTACCAATGTGATTAGAGCCATACTAGGACTCACAAAGAATTTAGAAGCAAGGTAAGAATTATGTTGAATTTGTTGAAGTTGTTGTATTAATTTAAAATGACGAAACAGTGCAACAGTGCACTATAGTAAAAAGTCCATAATCTCAAAGTTAAAAAACATTTAACTATTAAGCATTATTTTTTTGGAATAAACGTGCACTTTTATATACACTTATTAAAAAAAGGCCATTTAAAATGGACAATAAAATTGCTCTTCTAAAGAATTTAAAAATGTTAATTTACCACCTTAATAATCCTGAATTAAAAAAAAAAACATTTATGAATAGGCAATATTTTTTTAGAAAACATTTTAAATTGCTTTAAAAAACCATTTAAAAATGCTGATTCATGATGGTAAAGCCTTATATTAATAATCTTGCAATGAAAAAAACATTAAATTAATCCTTGTTTTGTTTAGAAAAACATATCCAAATGCTAAAACTACCGAATGAACTTGCACTTTTAAAAACACCACTTATTAAAAAAGGTCATTCAATATGGTGTAAAATTAAACAATTAAATTGCTGAGTAGAAAGCTGACAACCTCAAAGTAAACTTACACTTCCATTTTTAAACACAACACTTATTAAGAAGGCATTCAAAATTAAACAATAAAATTGCTTTACAGAAGCATTTAAAAATGCTGATTCACGATGATAAAACCTTAATTATCTTCAATACAAAATTAATCATTGCTTTGTTTAGATGCTGAAACTTCTAAATGAACTGAACTGACACTTTTAAAAACACCAATAGGTGCTTTACAAAACCATGTAAAAATGCTGTCAATTTCCTAATTAACTTGCACATGCACTACGTTTTTAACATTTTAAAAAGAACATTTAATATAGCGCATAAAAAAACAATATTATTGCTTTACAAAAGCATTTAAAAATGATGATTAACGATGGTAAAACCTTAATAATCTTGAAAATAACATTAACACGTTAACGGCCACGGCGGTCCCAGGGGACCGCTAATAGTTTTTCCATCCAGGCCACGGCGGTCCCTAGGGACCGCCTGTCAATTTTTTGTTTAACAGTTTAACATGATTTTCTGGCCAGCGGACCGCTCGTATAAGGTATTTTAAAGCATGCATAGGACCGCTTGGCCCTGACGGCTGACGAAGATACAAGAGTTTTTTAATTATTTATTTTTTAATCTGTATTTTGACGATTTTATTTTTTAAAATGATACAAGTAAAATATCAACTTGGCCCAATAAACAAAATCACCAATAACGCCGTGGCGTTTAACGTGTTAAAACATGTTTTAATGTTATTTTCAATGCATTAACCTCCAAAACACTTCTTATAACAAAAAAGTAATTTAAAATGGCGTAAAAGTGCTCTAAAAAAGCATTTTACAATACTGATTCACTACGATATCAACTTAATTACATTGCATTAAAAAATTACATTAAACAAGTAAGCATTTTATTTTTTATAAAAGCATTTAAAAATGCTGATAACCTCCAAATAAACTTACACTTGAACGTTTAGAAAAAGATAATTTAAAATGGCGTAAAGTTGTAAAAATGCTGATTCACTATGCTGCCGTGCTAAGCACAAAGGTGGTTACTACAATACTAGCAATAAAGAAAAAAAGTTTCACTGTAAAAATTATCTTTATTATTTATAAATGTTGGTAACCTTAAAACAAACTTGCACTTGCACTTTTAAAAACACCACTTATTAGAAAACAAAACATTTGGTATGGACCAAAATTAAACAATACAATTGCTTAACAAAACCATATAAAAATGCTAATTTAATAGGTAAACTTGCACTTTTAAAAAGAACACAAAAAAAACATTTAATATGGTAAAAAATTAAACAATACAATTGATACATTGGTAAGGTACATAACAAATTTTATGCACGATGACATTATAATATGACAATTATAACAAAAATTCTTTGACGTAAACGTCTTTTTATAGCCCGCGGGCGTTATTATGACCCAGCGGGCTATAATGAAACGTCAAAAATTTAAAACAACAATGTTACACATTTGATATATTCGAAGTAAGTTTTTTCGTATAAAGATTTTAATTTTTTCGGCAGCAGGCCGCAATTTTTCGCCTTTTCAGCTGCTTCCTAAATTTCATTCATCTTTAAACTTTAAAACTGACTGCAGTCATCATGATGTCAGTTGACATTATAATATGACAATTATAACAAAAATTCTTTGACGTAAACGTCTTTAAAAACAATAATATATTAAAAATAATAATATATTAATCGTGCATAAAGTTTTGTATGCATTGCTGGCATAACTGGTTTTTATGGTCCTACGACGCTTTTCTAGCCCTCGCGCTAACGCGCTCGGGCTCCAAATAGCGCCTCGTACCATAAAAACCTTATTATGCCCTTAATACATAAATAACTATTATTCAAGGGAGTCATTTAAAAAGACAAAATATAGTCATTCACAATGACTTATTCCATTATAATTTTATTATCATTTAAATTCTAAAAGAGAATTTTTTTGTAGGTATTTTCTTTTTTGCCCTCTGAAATATAAAAGGTTAAAATTCCAATTTGATTTGCATTTATATAAAAAAAATACACTATTTAAAATGTTTTAGTTTTTTAATATTATACTGGATGATTATTTTTTTCTATTATTATTTTTTATAAAGGGTGATTCATTTAGACCTTTTTTTTAATTCTAAATAAAACGCAAAAAATAGAGTTGGATGGCGGAATATTTATTATGACCTGAAAGAACGATCTTTGACATTTTTTTTTTTAATTTTATTTAAATGCTGGCCGCGTACAGCGTGGTCCATTCGGAAGGTCCAATTTTCTATCACTCTTTCTAGCATTGCGACCGGTATCTGCCCAATTACCCGAGTAATGATTTCTCAATAAAGCTATTGTTTCGCGCGCTGTGTGTGCCGTAGCTCCGTCTTGTTAAATCAAAAGTCTTCGTCGATAATCCAGCTACGATTAAGGACTAAGAAGCCAACATTACTCGCCTAATTGGGCAGATACCGGTCGCAATGCTAGAAAGAGCGATCGAAAATTGGACCTTCCAAATGAACCACGTACGCCGTAGTCCCGGCCAGCATTTAAATGAAATTATTTTTAAAAAATAAATGTCAAAGATTGTTCTTTCAGGTCATAATAAAGATTCCGCCATCCAATTACATTTTATGCATTTTATTTAGAATTTAAAAACAAAGGTCTAAATGAATCACCCGTTAGTTTAACCTAACTAAACCTAAATTCTTTCCTTTAGTACCTTTAGTTCCTTTAGTATGAATGGAAAAATGTTTCTTAATTAAGATATAAATATAAATTCACGTACCCTTTGGCTCCTACATCTGCATTTCTAGGATAGGTAACCACTTAAATAGTTTTTTGGCATAAATAAATTATCAAGATAAAAAACATTTAAACTGAAAACCAATTTATTTATATAAAATTGCCTGAATTTAAGTTAGAGTAAAAAATATAACAAATAAAAAACTTAAAATGAAATATATTTACTACTACTATATTATCAATAATATTTGACTTAACGCAGCCCTGAGAAGTTATTTATTATTTTATTACTAATAGTATAGTATTAGTACAATAATTTAATTTTTTAGTTTAAATTGATAAAAATCATTTTTTTTACTCTATTTTATTCATTCATATTAAGTCAACCTTTTCCTTTTTCTATGAAGTCAACGTTTTTGTATAGAGTAGGTCTTTTTGTGCTTAGCTCCATTGCTTTGCCTCTGCGCAAAAATCCTCCATCATATCATACCATACCAATTTTTGTTTAAAATAAAAAATAACAAATCAAAAACCTAAAAATTCAATGTCGGCAAACAAACACTACGTCCAAATAGTTACATTACACGAAATATAGCATTTAAAACGAAAATAAACTACTTTGTCACTTTTATAACAAAAAAATTCACATAGAACATTCGCCAATTTAACGATTAATATCAGATCTTGCGCGTACCGGTAAAGTTAGGTTATATTGATGTTTTTCTGCATGGAGCCTACACAAGGAGCCCGAACTTAATAGGGGAAATTGACAAAACCTGTCCACTAAATTGCATAAATTAAGTCTTTTTTTTCACCACCAGCGGCGCTGTTTGTCAATGCGTCCGTATGACGTGAAAAAAGTATCAAAAATACAAGTAATTTTGACAATTGATTTGCAATAATGTTTTGACGTACGAATCGTTTTGTTATTTATGGCTGTACCTGGTAGGTAGATTCTAATAAATAGGTTTTGGTTGTGAAATATAAGTGATTCTTTATAATCTGTGAAGTGATTTTACGACTCTGGAGAAGCAAAATAAATAGGTTTTGGTTGTGAAATATAAGTGATTCTTTATAATCTGTGAAGTGATTTTACGACTCTGGAGAGGCAAAATTAGATTTCCAGGTTAGAAATACACCGCTATTTAATAATTTAAATTTAATTTAAATAAAAAAGTATGTATAAAATGAGTAAACAGCATATTTAATAATTTCCACCTTTATTTGTTTATATTGAACTTTTATTTAAGCCATCTACCTATAAAACTAAAAATAAATACCATATGGATTTAATATTCTGTTAGTTTTACACACAGAACACGATTTAGCATCACACCACAATGTGGATTGTGCATCACACGACATTCTTTTATAGAAAAAAACACGTATTTATAAAAAACTGTACTATACTCTACATCAGAAAGTCCAACATGAATTCCAATGTTAAATTTGATATAAATTTATTGTAAATTAAGACCTTTATACACAAAACCAGGTACATGGCATGATACAAAGAATCATGTATCATGGGTACATGGGTACATTGTTTTCAGAAAGCGATAAACTGACAGTTGCATAACCTCAATTATTTCCACAATAATAAGTGGTAGGTAGTGGCGCCATCTCTGGTTATACCACTCTACTGTTTTGGACCGGTAGTACACCAGCGCCCTCTTATCTTGGGAAGATTCTTGTTTACATGAAGTTCGGGCTCCTTGTATAGGCTCCATGTTTTTCTGCTTCTTTTTTTGTTTATTGTTGGCAGCACGATGTTTGTTTATCGTGTGTTGGCAGCACTGATATAATAGAAAAGTTTTTACAAAATTGTATTGCTTAAATAATGCTAAACCATTGTTTTGTGCTCCAATTAACAATAAAATACTGCAGAAAACCTTTAGTCCGGAATACATGCGGGCTTTTTGATGCAAATTGAATCAAAAAGCCCGCTAGCGTTGAAAATAGATAAGGCAACGTTGCAATAATGTTCAGAGCTGCCAACCTGTTTAAAGATACTAACAAACTTTGCCTGATTTATAGATTGCCTTCCTCCCGTAGAAGATAAAGAATACAAAAACCGTTGTGCTATTTAAAGATTCCCGTACGGGAATCTATAAATTTAACTACAATTTTCGTATTGTTCATCTTCTACGGGAGGAAGGAGGGAAGGCAATCTATAAATCAGACTTTAAAGATATCTGCTTATATTCGTTTAAATATATTTAAATTATGTAGAATATTTTTAAAGTACATCTTTTAATAATTTTTAATTATTTTGTATTTCATTATTTATCAAATTTTGCAATAAATTCAGTGCTGCCAATAACAAGAACAAAATATTGTAACAAAAATATTTGAGTATAACCTAACTTTTCCGGTACCTGCAAAAACTTGGTTTTTTCTTTATTATTATCATTAACAAACTTGGTTATTATTAAAACGTAAATATATGTGATGATTGGAACGCAAATATCGTTGTTTGGTGTAATTTTGAATATTATTAAAGTGCAAAAGGTGTTTTTTATGTTGTAATTTGGTTTCATTGAGTTTAGTTTATGAATTATTAATACTTTTTAAAGCAAACAATTAAAGGTTTTGTGTGGAAAATAGTGTTTATGATGGAGGATTTTTTGCAGGCCTGTGAAGCACCAACAAACAATTAATTACTTGTGGATTTGCCCATTGTAACAAAAACTTATTATTTTAATTAATTTTGAGGGATTAGTTTAAAATCATCTACAAAAGGCGTTTCAGTTTTTATTATCAGAATTTTAACGGCTGATTATGCTTTTTTGTAATATTCTTTAAATTAAGCAAGATATCATAAAACGCAGACTTGAATTTAGTAAATAGACCAATAAATCTAAGTAAATTATCAAAAAAAAAATGGTAAGTAACTCAATTTTTTGTAATTTTTTTCATTATTAAAATTACTCACTAATATAAAGACGTGTTTTTTTCAGTTATGCATACCAAATGCATACTTAATTTAAATAATTTATCTTTTATATTTCAGAAGATTTAAAAAAATATATTTCAAAGATGTTGCAATCTTCAAAAATATTTTGTTTGTCTACCTTTGGTAAAATTATGATAATTTAACCTTGACCATGTAGGTACCTGTTTTTTATTATTTTTTATTTTGGGGATTTTTAACTGCAGTTAAATAATTTAAATTATGCATTCTTTTTAATTTTTTTTATTTATAGTTTTTTATTTATTTGGACATTTGATTAGGTCATAGTCCAGGTCTAAAAACATACCTACTATATACTTAGTACATATTTTGATTTTTTAAACTTAAAAGAAATTTAGGTGTCTATGACTAGGGGTAAGTGCATTTATATTTATTTTTTATTTAAAATAATAAGATAAAACAAATTTCTAACCTAAATGTAGATACTATAAACTTTGGAGAATTTTTTTTTGGGTACCTACATTAAAAAAAAATAGGCCAAGGCACCTAAGTAAATTTTTATATTTACAAAATCGGTTTAATTTAAAATTTTATTATATTATTTATTTTGATAATGGCTATTTATGGCCTTAATTGCTTGCCTTCTTTTAATATTTTTCATTATAAATTATCACTTTTTAAATGCTCCAATAACGCAATTTAAGTGTTACCATTTTGAATCAGAATTTTTTATGCCTTCTTTTAATGTTTTTCATTAGAAATCATCACTTTTTAAATGCTCCAATAACGCAATTTAAGTTTTACCACTTTGAATCATTATTTTTAAGGGGTTACGATTTTTAATGAATATCTTATTAAGGGTTTATTTAGATGTTTTTTTGTAAAATATTATTTTTAAATGCTTCTAAAAATCATTTTATTGCTTAAATACGTTCCGTTTTAAGTTTAGTTGTGGTACTTCAAAATGTGCAATCCTCGATTTTTGATTTTTTAATAATGCAATAGTGCAAGTGCAAGTTTATATAAGTGTTCCAATCTAAGACAAAGGTGCAAGTGATTTTTGAATCAGCATTAATGCTTAACTTAATGCCTTCTTGAGTTAACGGTGTCTCAAAAATTAGGTGCAAGTGCAAATGTATTATTAATCAGCATTTTAATGCCTAATAATTATTATAATAACAATTATTATACACCCATTATTTAGGTTTTTTTTTAATTAACGGTACCTTATAGTGTAATTTGTATTGGAAATTTGCATTTTATTACTCTTAATTTTTAATGGCTTTAGCCAGTTTGTGGTCTTCCTAATAGTGTAAGTGAAATTTTATTTAAATGTTACCTTATAAATCAGTATTTTTAATTCTTACTTGACCCTAAGTGACCTTTTAAATACACATTGACAAGTTGAGGCTGAAGTTAGTTTTAAGTTAGTTGACAGTTGTCAAATGTCAAACAATCGTTAAAATAAAGTGCCTTCCTTGTAAAATAATACTAAATGTGAAAATTATTTTATCATCTCAATACAAAAATACAAAAGTATTAAATAGTTTCTCAACGCCAATATTTGAAAAGTTTATATGAACATTGTACTGACCTTTTAATTTCGCCGGCAGTAAACTATAACTTAAATTCGGGCACGGACTCCAATGTAAAGTGCTCATAAAACATTTTCTTTACTTTCACTGTGAAAAACTGTAAATTTTCAAGAAATACATTTCGATTTATAACCTTTATAATCTGTGTTTATAAAATATAAAAATTTGACATTTGACGGTGACACACAGATTCCCCTATTGTTTCATAGATGGCGCTCTATACAATTTTTTTATTTAAATCATTTTAAGTTAATAATAAGCATTTGTCGTTGAAAAAGTATTGTATGCACCTCGTTTATAAACTTTTCTATACACTCATTAATTTAAGCACTCGCTCGCAAGCTCGCTCGTGCCTAAATTAAATTCGTGTAAAATGGCGTTTATCAAACTTGATACATAATATACTATTATTATCTCAATACAAAAATACAAAAGTATTAAATAGCTTCTTGATCCCAATATTTTAAAAAAATGAGATTTTAACGCCGGTAGATTCCCAAGTTGGAAATTCAATCGGGAATTCCAATAAATACAATTGTCACATTTTGTACCTTTAACATTTTCCGTGTAAGAATTTTTAATACTTTGTGATAATATTTTGCAATTATAGTAATAAAAAAATCAAAGGATAACATATTTTCTTAACATAATTATACTTAGGTATAGTTATTTTAATATTTAAAGTATCAATAATTCAAATTTAAATATACTAATTTGACTATTTCATTCAGTAGAATTTGACTAATAATTATTATTAGTGACTTTTTGTCTATAACAATTAGTCAAATATGAATAAATTTTGCGAGTTTAGAAATTTGAAAAAGAAACTGTTTTCAGCCCACGAAGGAGAATGTAAAAATAACAATTAAAATGATTAAAAATAAGAGGTGTGATTTTATTTTTCCTTCTATAAGTTAAAAATATCTATTATACATGTATTATATAAAATAAAAACATATTAAGAGCCAAATTGTGTTATTCTTTATTAAAAAAACTGATAACTTATGTGCTTCCAAATGAACCGTGTAAGCATGTTTTTATTTCCAATTCAAGTTACAGTATTTTTAATTTATTATCGTTTGGTGTCGTGGTCAAATATATATTTCATTTAGAAAAATGACGTAACCAAGTTGTTACGCAACAATTTTATGTGTTACACTGCACTTACACAACCTGATGATTTCAAAGTAACATTGTTACATAACAATGATACGTTGT